CTTTTCTAGAAATTTTTTTCCCACTGGGTTTTATTTTAGTTAAGGTTTTAACGAGGCACATTATCTGTTAATAGACATTCAAGGGGGAGTGTTATAAATAGAATTTTATTTATGGTGAATGTCTATATTTAGAGAGATTCTAGGGTTTATTACTTGGTGGCTAAGTCACCATCTTCATATAAATAGAGGGTTCTATTCCATTGTAATTGATCCCAAAATCAATAAGAACTCTCTCTCCCTACTTTTCTCTGCAATGTTCTTCTTCTTCTTTTATTGTTTCATAACATATTTAAAACTTCTATACATATAATGTCGGGTTGGTTTGGTTCGGTTTGACTTTTTTTAGTTAAAACCAAACCAAACCAATTATGGTCGGGTTTTTTTCCCAATACCAAATCATAGTCAGATTTTTTTCTCAGTTTGATTCGGATTATCCGTTTGGTACGTTTTGTCGACTTCCTTTGTACACCCATACTTATAGCTACCTTTTCTATTTTATAGCAAAATAGGTATTTATTTTATACACTACCATTAAGGCATAGAATATGCCAGTTATGTTCTCTCTCTCTCTCTCTCTCTCTCTTCAAGATTCTCAATCCTCTCTCTTCTCCCTCAAATTACTCTCCCTTTTCCATCAAGGCAACCGCCGTAGCAGCCATTTTTTGTGGCGATGGTGGACTTTTTGAAGCGAAAAGGGTGTAGGTGAAAAGATCTGGCCATGGCTACGGATTAAGCTTTTGGAAATCTGAAGCAGAATTGTCGAAGAAGATTTGAGGGCGGGTTTTTGTTTGTCTCCATTTTAGTTTTAATACAATGTGTGCAGTATTTTGCTTGGCCGGAAAATACCATCTCGACCGAACATTTTTCTCTTCTTTGCTATTTGAGTCACATACAATGATACAAATATATTGCATTTTGCACAAATGCACTTAAATACATTATATTCTTTTGTATAAATACATTATTTTTTTGCCCGTATTTTATGTATTCCGAAGGTCTGTATCTTTTGAATATAGTCGAATATCACTGTTAACTTTCTTCTCTTTATTGCTATTGAGTCAAATATAATGATACAAATATATTATATTTTGTACAAATACACTCAAACATATTGTATTTTTGTATAAATACATTATTTTTTTGCCCGTATTTTATATATTCCGAAGGTCTGTATTTTTTTAATACATCCAAATATCACAGTTTTTGTGAATTTATGTTGTTTGAATACAGCCGAGTTTAATTTGGTGAATTGAATACATTGTGTAATAGTGAATAATGAATATCGGTGAAGTGAATACAATGTACACAGTTGAATTAAATAGAACTGTATACATCCTATTTCTTGATTTTTTGTTGTTTTGATTATCTCACTGTATTCGCGCGAATACATAGAATATGACACAGAAACATTAACTTAAATTTTCTTGAATTGATTTTGTTAAGTTAAATTAGGAGCGATACACGCTAATTGATCTTCTTTCCGTTATTATACAGCTGGACTCCCTACTTATTAGGTGAATTCCGCAACTGTATTCATGAATACTGTACCGCGAATACGACGAATACAGTTTGGTAGCAAAGAAATATTAGCTACAGGAAGTGACATATCTCTTTTGCTATTTGAGTCACATACAATGATACAAATACATTGTATTTTATATAACTCAAATACATCATATTTTTGTATAAATATATTATTTTTTTGCCTGTATTTTATGTATATCGAAAGTCTATATTTTTTTAATACAACTGAATATCACTGTTAACTTTCTTCTCTTCTTTGCTATTGAGTCACATACAATGATACAAATATATTGTATTTTGTACAAATGCACTAAAATACATTATATTTATGTATAAATATATTATTTTTTTGCCTGCATTTTATGTATTCTGAAGGTATGTATTTTGTGAATACAAGCGAATATCACTGTTAGTTTTCTTCTCTTCTTTGCTATTGGGTCACATACAATGATACAAATACATTATATTTTATACAAATACACTCAATTGCATTGTATTTTTGTATAAATACATATGTATTTTTTGAAAACATCCACATATCACTATTTCTATGATTTTTTGTTGTTTCAATACAACCGAATTGAATACAATGTATAATAGTAAATAATAAATATCGGTGAATTGAATACAATGTATGCAGTTGAATTTCATAGAACTGTATACATCCTATTTCTTAATTTTTTGTTGTTTTGTTGTTTAGATTATCTCACTGTATTTACAAATACAGTCGCGCGAATATATGGAATATAGCACAGTAGCAATGAAATTTTGTAGAATTGATTTTGTTGAGTTAAATTAGGAGTAATACTTTAAGGCACGTAAAATTTTACCTAGAAATCCGAAACTTCGTGGTGGCGAGATAGTCTTGTGGGTTAAAAGTAGTAGAAGGCTCGGACCTTTTTGGTTGAATAGTACGTTGAAGAGTTAAAGGAAAATATTTTGCAGAAGTGTGCATTTCTGCGGCCGCATAATCACTCTGTGGGCCGCATAATGGCTGCAAAGTGAGGCAATCTACTTGACAATTTTTATATCATTTTTGCGGCCCATTATGCTACCGCAGAACCATTTTGCGGGCCGCACTCTGATCGCATATCCAACCTTCATATTTTTCAGATGGTAATTTTGCGGTGCAATATGCAACCGCAGAACAGGTCTGCGGATCGCAGGCTGGTCGTAGACGGAGGCAGAAAATGTCACCTCCGGAGGGCCAATTATGCGGACCACAGAAGCAATATGCGGTCGCAGATATGTGTCGGGACTCCTATTTTTCTAATTTTATAACCCGACCATGCTTCGATAAAACAGATGCAAGGGTTCATTTTTGAGTTTATTTCTGATATTTTTAGAGTGAGAGAGAGAGTTCTTAGAGTGAGAGAATAACCTTCACACTAATATCCAACGATTCTTGCTCAATCCTTAAAGATTATCAAGAAGGTACTCATAATGAAGGTAAGAATTTATACCCTAGCTTTTATTTTAAAAAATTTAGTAAAAAAAGGGGATAATTAGAAAGATAATTATTGGGTGTGAGTATCTTGTTTGCATGTATTCTTAAAGTAAGCTAAAGATAGTGAAGAATGGGGTGTGAGATGGTGAAGTCTTTCATAAAAGGGCCTTAAAGCCTTAATGCACACTTGGCGGTTGATAAAATGCTCCAATGAGCTAGAACCGTGATCATTTCCCTAATTTTAGTTCAATTTGTTATATTGCTAAATAGATTGAAGTTGCTAAGTGTTCCAGAATATTGTAGAGTTTAATTAAGCTCAATTGAGGTATGTATGGCTAAAACCCCTTCTTCTTAGAATCGAATCCTCCAGTGTTCGCGTAGATGGTGTAAGTCCCCCAATTAATCATATTAGAATTGACTATTCCCAATGTGTTGTGTTGAATGATATATGTTTAATATTTATTTTAAATGCTTAACATGTCATCTTGCCATTTGAGGATGTGTTTAAAAATGTAGAATGTGTGTTAAGAAAAGTTAAGATTTTATGTCAAAGTTGAATAAAGGTTGTTATGCAAAGTGTATAAAAAACCTCTATGTGCTTAGGATTCCCAAAATCTCTCATATGTGTACTAATGTCTTAAACGATAGGCCATAATGTTGTACACGATGATAATGATGTTGAATGTAAAAAGGGAAACTGGAATTGTGAAATTTGGCCAAGGGCCAAGATTGACTTTATAAGTGAGGCCGCTCGTGCCAATGTATTGAAAGGATAGGAAAGAAATATAAAGTGAGATGATTGACTGAAAGGGGATGTCTCGAATGAGATGGCCTAGCCGATCGGGTCGTGATCGAACGCCATGCCACACACATGGTGGTACCTGTGCTGAAAATGATAATTGAAATTGTGGATATAATTGACGTCTCAAATAAGATGACCTAGCCGAACGGGTCGAGATCGGACTCCCTATAAGAACACGGTGGTATTATGGATTGTGGCATATCGACACTAAAGATTCCCCAACCTAATAAGATGGAAATTCACTTGAGAACTTATGTGATCCTTACTTGATGTTTTAGTATTGTTTGAAGCTCTTATCGAACTCATGACTGTTCCCCCCTTGTATGATTGTACATTTTGTTGAGATGGTGTTTTAGCTTTACATACTAGTCATATTCGACAGTACTAACGTCCCTTTTGCGGGGGGGCACTGCATCTTTAAATGGATGCAAGTGGTTCCATAGCAGTTGATCAGCGATAGTGGTGCATCCTCTTCCTAGTGGACTCGGTGAGCCCACCTTATCCCGGGGTCATATATGGTATCTCTTGTTCATAGTGTTGTCACGTTTTGAGGTATAGCCGGGGCCTTGACGCCGGCACTATCTTAACACTCTTTTGTATCTTTAGAGGCTCTGTATACACTATATGGGTTGTATATGGGTGTTAGAAAGGTCAACGGATTATGTTGTGTTTTAGACTCTTGTTTCACTCAATCATAAGAATGTGTGTATTTTGAAACATAACAATGATGTAACTAATGAAATAATTTAATAATGTATACATGATCTTCCTATTGTCTAATTAACGAAAACATGCCTTCTCTTGATCATAAATAAGTTGGGTAGAAAGTGTCTAATAGACTTGCTCGACCGAGCCGGTTGCACTCCCCGAGGTTGGGGCGTGACAGATATACGCTAATTGATCCTCTTTCCGTTATTAAACAGCTAGACTCCCTACTTATTAGGTGAATTCCGCGACTGTATTCATGAATACAGTAGCGCGAATACAATGAATATAATCCGATAGTAACGATATATCAGCTATAAAAAATAAATATGTATATGATAGCTATAAAAAGTAAATAGCCACCAAACTATAGTGATTTCTTAAAATTCCGCGAAAACTTACTACTATTGTTTTTGAATAAAGTTGTGTAGGTTGTCGGATTCCACAAAGCAAGGAGAAGAGGTCCTTGTTGAATGAGGTGAGGCCCACACATATGTTGCGAGAAAAGTGTTGAAGAAATAGCTAATCATAGCCATAAACAATAACTACAACTTCGTTGTTGGTCACTCCTTGACGAACGAACGCTTCAACGGCATTATTTCCCGGCTAAAAAAACACAGCACACAAAATATATTACTCAATACAAAACAAACACACTCCTTGGTCTCTCTTCTCTCTGTACCATTCACTCATTCAATTTCTCTCTCTAAGATCTTCTTGATCCCTTAATTTCTCTCGTTTAACCATTTCCTCTTACATTTTTCTTTGAGAATTCCATTTTTTGGAATTTGGGGTTAGGGTTTCCTCCTCCTTTTGTGTGTGTGTGTTTGATTGATTGAGAGGGAATTTGAGAGGCTAAAGGAAGACCAGAAGCCCAATAATAATTCCATATATTTTGTTTAATAGAATCATCAGGTCTTCTGAAGAAGATCTGAGAGTAGGCAAAAATGAGCGCATCGAGGTTCATAAAGTGTGTGACGGTGGGGGATGGTGCCGTTGGCAAGACTTGTCTCTTGATTTCCTACACCAGCAATACCTTCCCCACGGTTTGTTTTCACACCCAGATTACTTGTTTCTTGTTTCTTGAAATGAAATGGATCCAAATGGGTTGAATGGGTTTTGAGGATTCGTATAGCCAATTCCAACTAACTTGGGATTGGATGTTGTTGTTGTGTTTTTATTTGTTGCCACTGTTCATTATTTGGCAGCAATATTTATTATTATAAGAATGTGGTGGAGTTTTTTGTGGTTTGGGATGGGAAAGAATGTTGCAACTATTTTTTGTTTTGCTTCTTTGTTCTTGCGATTTCCGTTAGGCAAATTATTATGATTCTTTGTTTTTCCTGAATTCATGAATATATTGGTAAAATCATGTCGAAAGTAGCTCAATATGTTAAACTCTGCTCTTTCTAAACGAAATTGGGGTCTCTTGAATTTTGCATAGGCATGTGAATGGTTATGCCGATGCGTGTTTTTAAATTATTTCTGTATGGCTAATGTCGTCATGCAGTACCAATTGTATCTTGTTCTCGACCTTTTGGAGGAAACAGTTTGTGGCTTACCCTGTGTGTCCTCTTTCTTAATTGTCCTCTTTTCGGTCCGGTTATGATAATTAAGGGTGAAAATGAAGAAACTCATTGCTGTTCGAGATAAACTTGATGACGTTCAAATCAGCTAGTAGTGTATTTCATTCTTTGGTGCTTTTATGTTGTTGCAGCTTAATCGCTTGCAATGAATCTTTTTTCTTTGGGATTTGGTTTACTTGATCAAAACTTTGCTTTTTTCTGTATATCCTAAGAAGTTTTGCTGTCCTGCTTTCCCAAATTTGAGTTCAAACTTTTTGTCAATGTTTGACAGGATTATGTGCCGACTGTGTTCGACAATTTCAGTGCAAATGTGGTTGTCAATGGGAGCACTGTCAATCTAGGGTTGTGGGATACTGCTGGTAACTATTTTAAACGCCATTTACCGTACTCGTCTTTTTGGGCAGAAAGCTTCTGATTTGTATTTATTGTAAATGTATTCTTATGCATATGTGGCTACTACCAATATGCTTGTTATCCATATTTATTCGATGTCATTGTACATATTGCAGGACAGGAGGATTACAATAGGTTAAGACCTCTGAGTTACCGTGGAGCTGATGTTTTCATTTTGGCATTCTCTCTCATCAGTAAAGCCAGCTATGAAAATGTTTCCAAGAAGGTGCTGCACATTTCCTGTTTCTCTTTGTTATATTTTTCTGTTTGTTGGTTCATGGAGACTTATTTTGCTTTATTTATTATTTTTCAGTGGATTCCTGAGTTGAAGCATTACGCCCCTGGTGTCCCTATAGTGCTTGTTGGGACAAAACTTGGTAAAAGTTCTATTAATATATGATCTTGGGTTTGTTTGTATATATCTTCATGAGGTGATAATCAAGTGGTCTCTGTGATGTTTCCATTAATACAACGAATCTTTCAGAGCGAGCTGATCATGTCTCCGTATATGGAGTACTCTTCATCTTATATTGTAGTGCAGCTTATATTACCTAACTGGTTCTGTAATCATGTACTCAAAAATTATGATGATGAAAGAAGTCTTTGCGCACCCAAGGCGGTGGCCTAGTGGTCAATGAAGTGAGTTGAGAACCTGAGGTCCCAGGTTCAAATCCAGCGGAGACAAAAATACTAGGTGATTTCTTTCCGTGTGTCTAATCCTTGGTGGGTAGAGTTACCTGGTACTTGTTGGTGGAAGGTAGCAGATATTTCGTGCAATTAGTCGAGGTGTGCACAAGGTGACCCGGACTCCACGCTTATAAGGGAAAAAAAAGGAAGTCTTTGTTGCTCTCTGAGTAGAAGGGGCTTTGTTCCCTATCACCAATGCAGAGTTTTAGGAAATGGAGTGTCTTTCAGGCCGTAGAAGTGGGAAATGATTGGTGGTGGGGTATGGGGTATGTGGGTATGTTTGTCTCCCATGTATCTTTGATAGAACTGAAAGAACCTTTTGTCTAGTGTCTCCACAAGGTCGGATTAATATAGTTGAAATTGAGCTCTCTTTGACAAAGAAAGAATCGAAACCGGAAATACAAAGGGTTTTTCATGCAAGTGTACATCTCTTATCTTTTATTGCTAATGTCTATGTTCTATATTCTTTAACTTGAAGGCTTCTGGACTGTTGTTTTTTTACTCATTCAGGTTGTTGTGATACAACTTCTTGTTTTATTTATGCTTCAAATTGCCAATTTGCTCTTTCATGAATGATATCTTCTATCTGTTAGGTGTACTCGTGTTCCAATGTTGCATTTTCCAATTTCTCGTGTCCATTTTCATCTAGTTCTTTTTGCGTTTCTTTTTCTTACTAATAGAGGGTTATTCATATATGTGATTGTCCTGCTTTCCACCTGTATTGAACTTAGATCTTCGGGATGATAAGCAATTCTTCATAGACCATCCTGGTGCTGTGCCAATTACTACTGCTCAGGTAAGCGTCATTGCAACTGTTCCTCCTTTGGAGCTGGTGTAGTGGAGTATACCATATTTGTAATTTCTGTACTTAATTTAATTCTTATTTCAATGTTAAGGGTGAGGAACTGAGGAAAACGATTGGCGCACCTTCCTACATTGAATGTAGTTCAAAAACACAGGAGGTATGTTTCCTCTTAGAGCATCTTGTTTCTTGTGCTCAACACGTTTTTTCGATGCGTTTTATTGAAGTATATGATATGAAATGTTCTTGCTGCAGAATGTAAAAGCAGTGTTTGATGCTGCCATTAAAGTTGTGCTCCAGCCACCCAAGGCGAAGAAAAAGAAAGGAAAGTCTCAAAGGGCCTGCTCAATTTTGTGATCAAACAGTAGAGGTAGGAGGATATTCCTGGTCACAGTTGGCGTTGTAATCTCTCTCCTCATGTCTTTTTCTCTTTCCTTTTTCCAAGAGGAAGTAGGAGGTCCTTGTATTTTCTCAGTTGAAGCTACTAGTGATCTCTTGAAGTGTCAGGTGGCTTGATTTCTCTGTACTGCTGTGGTTTCTGGTCTCTGATTATTGAGTCTCAAAAGCACCTCTATTTTGTCCTCGCTGTTTTGATTTGTTTTATGTATTAACGACTGAAAGATCAATTTAGGAAACAAATTTTCTCAGCAATGTTGTTTAGCATTTCTTACTTAGTTGTAGCTGTTCAATTTTGCCGAATCTATTTTTCCAAAGATCAATCTGGAATCTTCTGATTTGCATCTGCATTTTCTGCTGATTGCAAATTCTTCTTTAAAGTATTCAGGAAAGCTCAACTTTCATATTTTTCAATTTATAATATTTGCTCTTTTAAGGTGCAACTCTGTTTCTACACTGATGGAACAGCAATACTGAGCTTGGCCCTATTATGAGACTATAATACTTAAAGTGCTCATTTCTCCTTATCATTTTTGAAGGGAAAATGAATGAAGTTTGTGAAGTTTTAAAAGCTAAAAAGATAAGATACTAATCCATGAGAGGTGATCTACTTCCTAGGTTCTTTTTCTGTAGTGATTGTGGGCTACAGTTTTGAAATAGATGTCATTTGACCTCAATCTTTGATTCTTTTTTTTGTTGTTGATCCAAATATGAAATGGGGAATACAAGCTTTGCAATGGCACGAAGTAGGAGTGTCGAACGGCGGGTCGGGTCGGGTCGGATATGGTTTGTGTCGAAAACGGGTGATGAAAAAACAGATAAATTATCCGGCCCGACCCATATTTAATACGGATAAAAAACGGGTTAACCGGCGGATAATATGGGTAACCATATTATCTATGACTTCTTGCATATGATCACTTTTGGAAGAAACATTTTAGCGCCTTGGAGGTGGACAATCCAAGGCGCTACTTCCCATTCTTCCGATTGAGTATTATTATTTGCAAAACTGTTAAAACAATAACAACATCTAAACAATGGCCTCAAAAGGGGCTAATTTGAGAACATCAGCCGATATTGGTAGGAGAGCAAGTCCATATTGAATGCACCAAACATAATTTTGGGAAAACTATACTGTATATTTTTTGTATATTGATGAATAATATATTTATTTTATACATATTTGGCAAAATTATTTTATATATTTGACTAGAGAATGCAATAATTTTTGGTGGGCTGGCCACATATAGGTATTTTTACCTAACTATACTATATTAAAAAATTATTTACCTATGTTCTCTATGTTTTAGAGTTTTTAATAAGTATATATCTAGGTTTTTCTTATAATGTATATATTGCTCCTTAAAAGGCTCTCACCCCAGTATTAGTACCTACAATTATCAATTATATCTTTTCCTTTTTCCCCTCTTCTTCTCTCTCCATTTTTTTACATCAAAATCCCTTAATCTACGCCTAGAATCTCCATCTTCTTTCTTCCCACCATTGCCGACAACTTTATATTACTAAAAAATATTCATAATTGTATTTGAATTGTATCAGATACATCATTCATACTTGTATCACAATTGTATCTAACTTGTAACTAGTACATTAATACCCAAAATGGTACCTTATACAATATTAATAAATTAATATATAATTATCATACTTGTGATAAAAACTGTGAAATTCGGCACGAACTCACAACTGCTCGCAACAATATACAATAAATATACAATTATCATACATTTTAATACAATTTCCGCAACAATTATGATACATATACAATTATAATACAATCGCGATACATTTCTGAAAAATTGTTATACAATTGTGATTTTCATCTTCTTCAAGTTTCAATCACAACTCTACACTAAAAATTTAATATAATCGTATTATAATTGTTTAGTATTGTATCGAGTATTGTTTTGGGTATTGATGTATCATATACAAGTCACATACAATAAAGATTTTAGAAAGAAAGAAAAGATCCAAAATTTACTCATAACTTGATTCTAGAGCAATATTTTAAATTTTGTCTGCAATGTATCTATAAGAAATAAAGATTTTTGGATAATTAGTAAGAAAGAGAGAAAATAAAAAAGAGATTGTAGGTGATTATTAAGAAAGAAAAAAAAAAGAAACAGATGGAAATGTGGAGTGGGTGTAACTGACAGGCTAAAATTAAGGAATCTTGAACTTTTCCTTTTTTAATGATTTTGTATATAACTTTTAAATATAAATAGGCAAAGTAATTAATAAAAAGCCTAAATAAAAGTGATAAATATATATCTATTATAGTATAGCTAGGTAACCAAACACTTTTTACCAAACCAACCGACTACAACCCAACAATTTGCAACCACTAACCCGGTCCAGTCCAACTTGCATCCCGTGGCGCGTACCGCTATTTCCAAATCCTCTTCCTTCCCACCTCTTTCCTTTCTCTGTCGCCTTGTCAACTAACTTTTAACTTCCTTTTCACTCCATATTTCTTCTCTCCCAATTCACCATCTCCTCATATTTCCTCCTCTCTTCTCACCATTTCTTTAAACCCTAAATCCTCCTCTTCTCCGATCAGTAATTCTACAAACATGCATCACAACGATGTTAACTCTTCCTATTACCAATATTACCAACCTCATATTCAGAACCCAAATTCTAGCTCTACTCCGGCCGATCATCCCTACAATCCCGCCGCCGTTCCCGGCCAGTATGCGTCAGCTCCTCCTGTGCCATCCGACTACTCCTCCGCCTATCCACCATATTCTCACAGCTCCGCCGATCATTTCCCAACTGCAAACCCTAACGCTCAATCGTCAACTCAGCAACAATCTTGCAATTATTACCCTTATAATCAAAATCAAACCTCTCTGTGTTACGATTATAGTACACCGAATCCACCTAATTACAGTTCATCATATTCGTCTGCTCCTCATTCAATCGAAAATAATGGCTCATACGGAGAACAAGGTTTTTATGATTCTGGTGTTTATAAATATAATGGTAGGAAAGAGGAATCTTACAGTGAAAGTCGATCCCAGTCGAATATGGGGGTGATGTTTGATGATTATGGCAGGCCTATCAATATTCAAAATGGGAGGGAGAATCAAGGACACGCGAGTAGTCGTGAAGTTGTGAAAGCAACCCCGAAGATGGAGGAGCAACAGGATGTTGCAGCTGGTGTGTTGAAGTTCCGCGTCAAGCTTTTATCAGAAGGCGTAGGTCAGAGCGACTTGGATGTGCTTTGTCAGGTTAGAATGTAGCATTATTGATCTTTGCAGATATTTCATGAGCTTCAAAAGGGGAGATAATTGCATATTGAAGTATTAATTTGGCATGCTTTACTCAATCAACTTATCTACTAGGCCTCAATTACAAACTAGTTAGAGTCGGCTATATGGATCCTCTGTATCTAGTATTTAGGAACTCATTATAATTTAACTATTTTTATGCTGACTACAGAGGTTGAGTCCAGGATTTGATGTTTATTGGTTCCTACAACGACCTCAAATTAATATAATAATAAATGACTTCACAGTCAACTATTTATAGATATTTAGTGGATTTCTTAATACATACATTGGGCTTGGCAAAAGCTACTGGGTTCCATGAACCCATAGGTAATATTGTAGATCCCCCTCTGGCTGACTATTAGCTTACACTCCCTATTTTTTGGGACTGGCTATGCTTGGCCTGCTTATTACTGTTAATTTTAATTATATTTTCTAAGTTTTGCATTGAAATTCAAATTCAGATTGGTCTAGATGGGATTCGCATACTTGATCCTGCTATGAGCCGAACTCTGAGAATATATTTACTTGAGAATGTGACAAGATGGGAGGTAAGTTTGTCATTTTGATTGTATTAGTTCCGGTATATGTTATTTCATTTGCATACAAGATGCCTGTGGAATAAGTTCATTTATTATCCTTTCTCTGTCAGGTATTGGATTCATATATATTTGCATTTTGGGCCAAAAGCTCTGTTGACGTGGAACCTAGACGTATCAGGCTGAAATCAAATAGCTATACAGTGAACAATATCCTGGACACTGTTACAGCAGCAAGTATTCAGGTTAAGAGATCTCTTTACTCTTCAAAATTGATTTGTTCGTATCGATAAATGTCTTTGTTGAGATAGCTGCATATAATTTTAAGCCCTGGAGCTGTGGAATGTGTCGAGTTACACAAGTTGTAGTCTTCTTTATCTGGCCTAACATCCTTTTTTCGTTTGACGTAAAAATAATCTCAGTAAGGGATATCTGACCTGTTTTCTTACTGGTGTTAGAATTTATATATTGTTCTCAGGGCGTGTAGTTCATGCTGAACTAAAACCGAAATTCATAGGCATATGGTGATTTTTTCCCACTCTATGAATCTGGAGAAAGTCAACACATGTCTATCCAATAAGTGAGGAATTTACAAACTTCCTTTAGTTTCTTTTTCCCATCACGGATGATGTATAGTATTAGGGGTTATCAGTCATTTTTGCTACAGGAAGTCTTAGTTCATTTCTGCTACAGGAAGTCTTAGTTCAGATCAGCGGCATTGGAAAGAGCCATCACTATTTTTTTTTGTTTTTTGTTTTTTTAAGGGTGTAGAAATTGTACTTTTCATGTTATATTGGGTTGGTCCTGCAGGTCGAATGGATTAATATGGAGGTTATGATTTTTTGCGGGTTTGGTTAGTTATATTAGGTTTTATCATGTATTCACACAACAGTAGACTGAAGACCTCTAGTTGCATTGGTTGGTCCTTCTAAGAATGCTTAATTATTTTATTCGGTTATTATTTAATTGTGTATGGCTGCCACTATAAGGAACTGTGAGCTCAATGGATCAATTATTCTCCCTGTTTCCTCCATATCAAGTTTAGTTGGTGTTTCTGCTCTTCTCCGGATACTTTTCACTCAAACTATACTATACTACTGAAATTGGATTTATCATCATTTCCTTGCTTTAAACAAGATATTTAGGTACAATGCTCCTCTAGATACTCGACTAGTCATAACCATGTACGCATGCTTTTATTATGGAATTCAGATTAAGGAGATGGGTGAGAGTGATAAACCTTCAGATTCAATCAAGGGATCTGAGCAAGCTGCTGAGAAGAAGAAAGGCTTTGTTGACTTGATGAAGTTGATGAGGCCACTCAATGAAGAGAAAGATTTCTGGGTTAGATTTATGATCATCTGTTGCATTAATTTAGTGGTCGTGATTTTCATCTATGTCTGTTGAATCAACTTCTGCAAGTAACTCTTAACAAATTCTTGGCTTTGTTTTGCCTAATAATTCTCTACAG